GGACCAAAGGACGATCTACCACATCACACTGATACCAATGGACCAGACGATGATTTACCACATCACATTGATACCAATGGACCAGCCGATGATTTACCACATCCCATTGATATCAATGGACCAGACGATGATTTACCACATCACACTGATACCAATGGACCAGACGATGATTTTACCACATTCACATTGATAACAATGGAGCAGACGATGATACTATATCACACTGATACCAATGGACCAGATGACGATCTACCACATCACATTGATATCAATGGACCAGACGATGATCTACCACATCACACTGACACCAACGAACCAGAGCACGTCGCCTGGTATCAAAAATAATGAGTAGCTTTAGCAATACAGCACAAATATTTAAGAATCTTGAGAAAATTTCAGAATCAAAACCCAAATTGAAGCTTCTTATTCAAATTTTCTTACTACTTATGCAAACAATACGCATTAGTGGACGTAGTGTGGATATCAAACAAGTCCAAGACTAAATAATTCCACCCTAGGAATTCCTCACTCTGTTCATATATACTTAAGGTGTGCTGTACAATTTACCTGGCAACTAGAAGATTCAAATTATTGTGCTCTGACGAGGCTGCCGGATTCGTCGTCGCTACATCTGTGATGAAAGAAAAAACATACATGAAACAATTTCACTCAGAAAAGCAAAAACTACATAGAAAATCTACTCGATTTCCAGTGTCTGTTCATTGCATCGCCGCGTATATATTTTTCTCTATTCATGTTTGTTATACCACCCTCAACGGTATTTGTTATTATCCGGTCCCGTTACTGGTTGAGGTAAGCCCAAATAGCTCGACAGTTTTACCAGAGCGCGCCGTCCCTTTCCAATCGCTCGCTTTCCAATGGCAGCCTTTTTATTTATTTCGAAAACTGCTCCCTTCTTTCGAGATGACGGGAAGCTAGGCTGGCTCAGTTTCGATCGAACACAATCTCCTTGCGTGCAAAGAATTTCAAACTGACTGCCCAGACCGCCTGCGCTCCACTATTGAGATGTTGCCTACTTTGCAAAATTGACAAATCTCTTTTTCTAGGGCGCCATTCAACAATGCCATGTCAACAAGTCGAATCTCGCCGTCTTCAAACGATCGGCCGTGATATTCACTCTCACTTTCTTCTTCTATGTCGGAAGGTAACACTATTTTCCTGCGAGAAACAGACATCTCTCGAACGTTTTGAACCGGAGTATCACCCATTATATCGAAGTCTGATTCATCGGACTCAGTCACGGTAAAACTTTCTTCGCCCACTTCATGGCTGACACTGGTTTCGACGGGGAAATCCTTTCTGTATGAACCCAGCATCGTCTCTTTCAACATTTTTTGACAGGAGTGATCATTCTTTTGACGTCTTCTTTCTTCCTCGCTTTCTTTTTCTTGGAAATTTTCGCGTGTTCACTATCTCGTCCATAATGACAACTAAACTAAAGAATACAGATAACCCTCTCCTTCTTTGCATATTTAGCACATTAATGAAGGAAGCTGCCCTGTTTTTTAATTGGTGTGAATAGAATAATGTAAAATGTAACCCAGTGATGTATGCCGGCATGTAGCATTTCCTGTGCTATTAAAAATCATATCCCGCAAAACAGAGTTTTACCGTCGCAGTAACCTCGGGTCTTGTAGATGAATCTCTTCAACATTTAATTGTAACCGGACTCACTGTTATCATCTATAAAAACTACCTAGATTTTAGATGATACTTTTATTTTTTTCACCGAGGTCGTACGAAAAAGTCAACCCTTGCCTTGCGTGAAACACTGGCCCATATCCGATGTCAAGACGTCGGCCGGGGGGGGGGGGACGCTACTATTTCGTTGCCGTGCATTTTGTTCGCATGAGTACATTAGATAAACAACCAAGTATATATCAGACATATTTATTACATGTAACATCATTTAGGAATTTAGAAAAAAACTAAGCATGCAAGTATGCCTACTTGGTGAAAACTCCTCTGAAGTGGGGATCATATAAACCAGGTCCAAGCACATTCTTATCATTGATCAACCTTTACATGTAGTTTGTTGCCTGCAATGCATAACCACCACAGATGGCTGTATTTTATTGTTTGCAACCGTATTTTGTAAAAGGGAGCCCCCCCCGAATGTAACTGCATTACTTCTGGACTAAGAAAGTAACCCCGTGGTCAGACACATTTCAATGACAAAGCCAAGAAAAAATATTACGGAAATTTATTGTAAGTTTTTATTCTGTTAACATATAATTACATTGAAGTGGTACATTCATGTACTTTTTTGTTTATTCAAAATTTGTTGTTTCAAAAGTGATTGTTTTGTCTTTGCTGTACTTCCTGTCTAGAAAGGCAGCAGTGCACACATCTTATCAGCTGTGTGTAAACTACAAACAGATATCTTATCAGTTGTTTGTAAATAGCAAATAAAGAAAGTGGCCCAACTTAAAACTATTTACCCTCAGTTCAGTTATGTTTATAAACCATGCATATTAATGAGATGCACTAGTTGGGTGTACACTGGGTGAACAAAAACTTGGCCATTTGTTTGCACACAAGAAAAAAATCAGTTTACTTGTACAAGATATCTTTTTTTTCAATAAAATAAATACACCAATGTATGTAGCATGCCTTAGGGAGCTATTCGTGTGATTTTCAAAAGAAAATGTGAAAAGTGCTCAAAAAACTATTCTGCTACCTTAAGCCGATGAACTCTTAAAGGTGTGTTTTCATCAGCATTAAAGTGGATTGCATATACCTAATTCGCATCTGGTCACCGAGATCTCGTTAAGAGCGAAAGTGTCACGAGATTTTTTTTTTACCCACAAATAGTGTTTCATCTTTTCTCCTTATCACACCCACTGTTCAAATACCATGGTTACACGTGTCAATGGGAATAGTGGATGAGATGGCCCTCAACGAAATCTCGGCAGCCATTCGACTGAATATCAGAATATATACTACACTATGTCTACTTACTGTCGTTTGCCAGCGTGTCGTACCCCGGGGGAGGTTTACTGAATTCGGTGGAGTCCAATGACAGCTGGTCATCCAATTCCATACCATAGTTTGTCTCCATTCAACAATGTAGATTGGAGTAAGTCTCCAGACAACCACACGAGATGGCAATCTTGATTATTGCTGGTGTGTCGGTGACGAGATACACGTGGTGAAATGGCGTTTAAAGCTGGTGGTCTTCAACTAAATAAAGAAACAGATAAATAACAATACTGAATACTAGCTAGATGAAATTAGTAAAGAATTATTTATTGATGACTTATGTGTCTTTTACAGTAGCCATAGTAACCATCATTTATCATCTCATCTACAGGGCGTTGCATTTAAACGATACTCATAGCAGCAGCGCATCGTGTCTTCATCACAGGGTGGCTTTGGAGATTTTAATCCCGTCAAATTAGAAACAGATTGTTTGGTTTCTTGCTATAACTCGCTGTAGATGTGCGACTTGACTCAGGGTCATCTCAATTTATATCATGTTAAATAAACTATACATAATTATAGATAATTCATGCATAGGTAAACCATATATGTAACATGAGCTGGACGTCGTTTGGTAGTTACGGTAACCACGATGTACAAGTACATGACTGGTACATTTTCTGTAATTGCGCAAATGAAAATGACCTTTTTCTAAAAATTACGTCATCGCGTTGCCACAATTAAGCCACATGTTGTGGTTGACGTGTACAATCAATTAAAACAATTTGTTGTCGTACGACGTACAATGTTTGCAATGGTTTATAGCTTGGTTTCCAGAGAAATGCAATACGGTGAAAATAGGGGGCGTGGCCACCTTTGCGTCGAGTACTGATAAATACTCATGATAATAGAGCGTCGACTAGCAGTCATAATTTTAATATGGATGTCCATGGTCTGTTTACAGTATGGTATGACAAATGTATTGACGTCATTGATGAGGTCATTAATCGTTATTGATTGGACCCGGTTAATAAACAACACGCAATAATGCATAGAAATCAATATATAACAAATACACAGCATGATAGTTAATGGACATCACGATAATGTAAATATACAAATGTCAGGATCTCTCGTCCTGATTATAGTGCATGAACATCACATGCCGTGATTGATTAGAACCAAGTAACATGACATTTAATAAAACAGGCATTATACTGCATATTTCCATCAATAGATATTACGTCATGGAAGATAACAAAGATGACGTCAAGGAAACTACCGCGTAACAATACTGCGAATGACAAATATAATATATAATGTACTATCATCACGATATACAGCACTGACATCATAATTTACTAACATCACGATATACAGCACTAACATCACGATACAATGTACTAACTTCACGATATACAGCACTGACATCACTATGTAATGTACTAACATTACGATATACAACACTGACATCACAATATACAGTACTAACATCACGACATACAACACTGACATTACGATATAATGTACTTACTTCACGATATACAGCACTGACATCACGATATAATGTACTAACATCACGATATACAGCACTGACATCACGATATAATGTACTAACTTCACGATATACAGCACTGACATCACTATATAATGTACTAACTTCACGATATACAGCACTGATATCACGATATAATGTACTAACTTCACGATATACAGCACTGACATCACGATATAATGTACTAACTTCACGACATACAGCACTGACATCACGATATAATGTACTATCTTCACGATATACAGCACCGACATCACGATATAATGTACTAACGTCACGATATACAGCACTGACATCACGATATAATGTACTATCTTCACGATATACAGCACCGACATCACGATATAATGTACTAACGTCACGATATACAGCACTGACATCACGATATAATGTACTAACGTCACGATATACAGCACTGACATCACGATATAATGTACTAACGTCACGATATACAGCACTGACATCACGATATAATGTACTAACGTCACGATATACAGCACTTACATCACGATAAAATGTACTAACTTCACGATATACAGCACTTACACCACGATGAAGTGTACTAACTTCACGATATACAGCACTGACATCACGATATAATGTACTAACTTCACGATATACAGCACTTACACCACGATAAAATGTACTAACTTCACGATATACAGCCCTGGCATCACGATATAATGTACTATCTTCACGATATACAGCACTGACATCACTATATATAGTACTAACATCACGACATACAGCACTGACATTACGATAGAATGTACCAACTTTACGATATAATGTACCAACTGCTCTGACTTCCAAATATAATGTACTTGAAGTTCACGAAATTGATACAAGGAAGTAAATTCACGATATATTGCATTGCTATCGCGATACATTTAATAACTTCAGGACAATATAATACATATTCTTTCTTATACTGATTTAGTCAATAGATTTGTGAATGAGTATTACAATATACTAAATGTACATCAATATGTACGCGGACATGACCGCTTCTTGCTTTCGTAAATACCAGACTTTCCAGACCACGTAATATTAATGACATTTTTTTCATTAAGCAGCATACCTATTTTCAATGCATACTACAAAACCGATAACGTTTTCGCAAATAATACCCATAAAATAGTCTTCATCCAAAATACAAGTAGGATTCACGCGTTTCCCCCTGCTTTTCCGCGACTGGTAGAATGGCGCCCTCTCCAAAAAAATGGTCATGTCGTCGTGTACTGTTTCAAATGAAAATATACTGATACTTTTCAAATTCACAGATGATTTGTCATCATGATCGGGGATAGACGATGGACAAATAAATCAGAGTGTTTCTGACAAGTCACACGCGAATCGAAAATACATTTCGTATCATATACGAATCGAAAATACATATGACGATAAGGAATGTGACCGGCACGCAGTGGCACGATTAGGTGTGACAATTTACAACCCTTCTTCAGAATAAACATGCTGAATTATAATACGTCATTGTGTAAATATACGTTAAAATTTCCATCCTTATTTGCTCCGGGCGAATACAACATCGGTACCATGAGAATAGACACATTAATTTACGTTCATTCGAAAAAAAACTAAAAAACAAAACAAAAAACATAAAAATACGTTACTTCCGCGAGTCAATGCACAACACAGCCTGACAGCAAATTTACTGCTTCATTCCCATCCAAAAATGACGTCAGTAACAAATGTTCACCGACTATCCAGATGTTCACGACACAAACTATAACTGACGTTCATTGTGAAATATAATAACGAAACAACGAACATAATTTCAGCAACCGACCCAACGTGTTTGTCACTGACTGTCACCACTCAAATGCCTCTGAAAGTAGGGCCTGTACAGCGGTACATATTCGTCCATGCGATAAGTCCTAACGAACTCACCTGATTTGGCGGTGGCCATTCATTTGACGTTTTGAAGTGTAGTTTTCAAAACTGCGTTAAAGTTGACACAAGGATATAATCAAGCCGTAGTCAGTTTGAATGAAAAAACAAATAAATCAAACGTAAAAAAACCCACAGAGACACGTTGTGACCCGGATGTAGTACAACCTTTGCGTTCTTATCTGTGTATACATGAAATATATGGGTTTTACTGATGTTGTGGCACGATATCGGATACACGCATGCGTATTTGCTCATTGCACATTCCGGACACACCTGCCTTAGATTCAACTTAAGTTCAACCCAGGCTTTTCGCACAATTTACGAGCAAGACGAAAATCATTCGTAGAACGTAGAAAGTTCATCTTTGCTGATTGAAGAAGCCGCATTCTATGTCTCGATACATGTTTAAATTATATATGTTTGCATCTTCGCTAGCCAAGGTCTAAGTTTATTCGGACAAGTCTCTAAACAGACCTTGGCAGAACGACCATCAAATATGCGTATTCTAACAGCGCCCCCAGTAGTAAGTTGCAGCTAATTATTGTCCAATAAGTTTGCGTGTTACAAATCCCTCTTTGGGGTTTCATTTTAAACAAAATGGCGGCGCCCATGAATCGTGATATTTGTGATGATAAAATTGTGAAAGTTTTCGATGTTGGTGCCCTCAAGCCTCATCAGGTACAGGCAATCGACGCAGTTCTGTGTGGGAAGGATCTCTTCATAGCGACAAAAAGTGGAATTTTGTTTTATAATTTGGTACGTCCAAGCTGATTGGGCGCCTTGATTCGAGGCGCGCCCAATCAGATCTCACTGCTTAAGATGCGCAATTAGCCTATGCGGTCCCGCACGGTATCGTGTAGAGGCCTATAGGTCGAAGACCCGAGTCGAAGACACGGGACCGAACGATGATATGTTTGTAGCGATGGTGTCTTGACACCAA